TGTCTGTGTAATGGCATATTCACACCAAGTGCGGGTAAAATCATTTGCATGAGTTAATTAAATGTAAAGTCATGATTAGATGTGCAATCTACTCAGGTGACGCAAATGACGCAAATTGCACAAAGCAAATTGAACAGATCATATAAGCAAATGGCATGAATTCCCATCGCATCCAACACACTACTCACAGTTCGTGAGAGAAGAAAATATCTGAACTCGAGTGAATGTTCTTGCTGTGATAACCGTTCAGCATTGAGATACCCCAATGACATACATTAACAGATTCCTTCATGTGGAAAATGGGTGATTAACCGATCGTGACAGTATGCAACCACCTGAGCAGTATATCTTTAAACTGACCTGCTGTTAGCACTGCTACCATTAATCTGTCATAAACACTTCAGAAACCATGTGGCAGCAAAGAAAAAGGAGGAAACTGATGAAACAGTTTTATTTGCAAGGCTTTATTTGAAGGTTATTATTTTTGCATGAACTCTGCAATAATGGATGAAATATGCAGTCTGCAAAGCATTTTCTGACTTCATCCTGTAACCATGTCTGAAAAGTGTTAAGTCTTCGTCAAATACTCTTTGTTGTTTCCTCCAGCGTTGGTATTAAAGATCAAAATGGATACATGACGTTGTTTTCGCTTATTAGTATTCCCCACATGTTGCTCTGAAGATTGCTGTAATCTGCAGCTGTGTGTACAGAATGAAAGATAAGCACTGAAGGCTGCAGCTCGCTCAGTTTGAAATTTAATTTGGCATTTCTCCAAACACTGTCGAGATGTAGCTACAGATGAGGAGAGTGGATGACAAGGTGAATGAAGCACTATTAAAGTCAGCTAAGTTTCAAATCAATTAACAGGCAGAAAATAATTCAGTTGATTTATGTGTTACTAAATCATCAAACTTTTCGTAATTTCCAAACATCTGGTTAGGACTAGAACACTAGTAAAGACATGTCGATCAGTCTGTTGCTTCACTGATGAAAAATATCACATTTAACCAGTGACTCAGTCTTAAATATGATCGTAGGTTTCCATCTTTGCTGGATTTAAAGGTGCAGTGCCTAGAATAAGGATATTTAGCATTATCGCTAAACGCTTCCTCCCTAATCTGTCCTGTAATTGAGGCAATGGTGGCTATCAAGGACCAAAAGTGGTTAAAACGGCGGCATCCACAACAGACACAAGTCATTCAACTGTTACAAGGGATTAAATAGTAATTTTTTTGTTGTTATTTTATCAACATTACTATAGTTTTTATCTCAGTTCTTAGATAACAAATATGAGTTTTTGATTGTTTTAGTAATGTATTCTGCATTAGCAGAGTAACACTAAACAAAGCCAATGTTTCTTATGTACAACAGAGCATAAGGAACATGTATAAAAATATTTGATTCTTTTAAGTCAATTTGTTACAAGAACAATGTCAAAGTAGGGTTACGAGAATGATACCATAAGAAAAGAGATTAAAGGCATACTGTCATAAAGAATAAAGTCATCGTAAAGCCATGATATTATGAGAATAAAGTCATAATGTTATAAGAATAAAGTACTGAAAAAGTTGTAGTTTTGGTTCCCGTTGAGCAGCCAGCTGTCTCTATCAAAGTGAGGACTCGAGTGTGGTCTTGTTAAATTGTCTTTAATATTTTGTCTCCTCAGCCCCACATTGTTAAAGTATCAGGACTCTGAAAAGACCCAGCAAAAGCTGAGGTGTGTTGAATCCCCCTTCAAATCAGCATTATTTGGCTGATAGTTGGTCAGCTTTGAGTATTGAACTTATTAAAGGACCAGGAGTTGTGTTTCTATCAGAGAAAAGAAATAAATGATGAGTTATTGACACAACACCTCCTCATAGTAGATTCTATATATGATGAGGAAACACTATCAGGATCTCTGAAAGAAGCTCTAGCTGAGATCATTCAGGCTTCATTTCTCTGTAAACTCATGTCACTAAGTGAATAAGCCTCCTCTTACCCGTCCAGCAGAAAACTGACAATTTCAATGTCAGCATTCGATCATAATTTTGTCATTAGGATTTCCAATCCACATACAACACTGATGTTAACCTTTGTTTTCTGCTGTTTACTTCTTCGTGTTTTTTTTTCTTTGGGTTAAGAAAAAATACGTCAAATTTTACACAATGCACCTTTAATTCTTGACACTCCCTTTAATCCAGACATTACTGGAGGTCCTTTTTTAATGAGTTGGTGTTACTTTGATTGAATTTTCAATAAATGCCATAATCATTTTTATGAGTCTGTGTCACAGATGCATAAATACAAGTGCTTTTGTGAGAAAACCACTCTTACTGTATGGGCCACCATGTATTCTTGTGTTTCTTGGAACTAAATGAAACCTTTTCAGTGTGGACAGGCGGCAGGGCTTTCTGTGGATTATGAAAGACTCAGCTACATATACTGTCTATATATAAAGTCCATGCTCAGCTCTGAAAGCTTTTTCACCATTCGCCTGGTTAAGTTTCATCTTCATGTCACTTGGTATCAATCTTAAACTGAGTCACTCATCTCTCTGTGAAAAACAAAATGGTTAGCAAAGCTTTCTCGGCAATCTGTGTGATATTAAACTGCCCCCATGTGGCTGACCGCAGCAACAGCATGGCGATTCCTGATCACTGCTTTGTACACACACACACACACACACACACACACACACACACACACACTTTATTGACATTGTGAGAACACAAGATCCTCAAGTGACTTTTTGCAAGGTGTACTTTGTCAGATTCTTCTCAGGCTTTTTGCTTTCAGTCAACAGGACAGCTGAAATGTGGGAAATGTGGGGGTGTCATGAAATCAAATACAGATGGGCCTGATAGTTCAACCTGCCACTGTTTGTTGTTCCCCCAGCCTAAAACAAACAAAAAGCTTGCTTACTCCCACTTTGCTGCTAAAAGTACTTTATACATTTACTGTGATTACAATCCAGTTATCAGCAGAGCAGGACTCAAGAGCGCAGGACTGTGACACAAGAGACAAGCAGCACAAGTGAGAACAGGTGCACACAATACATCCAACTAACCTATGTCAGAGACTCGACTATGAGGACATCTAGTGGAAAAATTAAAGCACTACAACGATATCACTCCAGTATTAACCTCCTCATTCTGGCTTTCGACAGGAGGTAGATAATGGGACTGCAGAAATGAAAATAAAGCAAGAGGAGGGGATAACAGTGAAGGTTTCCTTTGCAGAAGGAGAAACCTGTGTAGATTAACACTCTGATTAACGTATCATTGTAGATTTCCAGGAGCCTACAGAGCCAATCCCAGTTGAAGTTTGTCGATGTTTTATTACTTTTATTATTGTTTTTTGTTATTATTATTATTTTATACTAATTTACTTGAATTAAGTTGATTTATTTTTTTCTATTCATTTGAACTCATAGAAATTTGATAGAAATATAATAACTGATGTACTTATTTATTCCTCCCCACTCCTAATTTTTTTTTTTTTTTTTTTTTTTTTAAGAGGAAGTCGAGTAGGTGTTGAAAGGCAGGGTAGATGAAGGGTTATCCTAAAGGGTTTTTACTTGGATATTCTGTGAAAAAAAAGGAAGCCAGAAAATACAAAGATCAAACTTAAAGAAAAGGAACAGATACTCCAGTAACAGGTACCTGCATGCTCTGCTGAAGTGCAGTTTTTAAGAGCATGTGTCTTTCCATTGTCTATCCTTGCTTTGAGGTAAAGAATCACATCAGGATTGTTGTTTGCGAGCTCAGTTGAGATTAAATGTTTTACTTTTTCTTTAGATTGCTGTTAATCTAACCTGAGGAAATGCTGCATGTTTATCATCCCACATTTTACAGGTCACGCAGAATGACATTTAGAATTTTATCATTTTTACATTTCTACCCCATAAAGAACACTGGCTGAAATGTGGGACATTGTAGCTAAGAAATACTTGAAAGTATCAAAACTGAACTCTGTATATTAATACTATAGCAGGACCCCTTGTTAGCAATGGTTTAGATCTTTTTGAGTCGACTTTGCTTCTGTAGTTGACTGTTTAATTGATGCTCTGAATCATTAATAATTTTAAAATCTTTAAGGGATAGTGCCAGAAATGTCCAGGCCTGTTGTTCTCACTACAAAACCCAGATCATAAAAATGTAACACAACCCTGTGCAGCAGAAAAGTGCATCGTTTACATGCATTCATCTGAAGTGGGTCACAGCCTCCTAAATCAGGCAGAGGTAATACTACTTATTTACAGTAGATGGCAGTCTCGTACAAGTATTTGGATAAAGCCATAGAGGCACCTGTTGATGCATACAATCCCAAGCATCATACTGAACATATTGATCCTATCATTTTGAATGACCTTTGACCCCTGAATTACACATTCTCAACATATTTCTTATTGTTTCTACTCTCAGTCACACTGATAAGGTGTTTGGCTGACATCCCACCAGAGCGCAGAGGGTCTCCTGGGCTCTGTATCTTGCAGGAAAGAACATTTGTTTCAGGACCCCCCAACCTGGACACGAAATCACTTAAACACCTTTAACAGCAGAGCTTAGTCAGTGAAGACCAAAAGGTCAGGACTCAGTCACAGCTTCTCTTCCTCTTCAACAGGCTTGAGGAACAAAGATTGGGACTTCTGATGCAAACAACCATGATGCTTTTTATCTCAGTTAAAAGTTCAAACAACTATAAAACACTGTTTGGTCTGATATTTAGAAAAAACTGACTGTTTGCAGCCCTGACCAGCAAGGTTTGTTAGGCTGTGGAGTTCTTTGTTATGAGTAACTAGACAGCAGTTGGATCAGCCAGTTTTAATTTAGAAGGAAAAGCACTATATTAGTCTTACTGCAGCTCAATCGTGCAGGTGGACACTTTCAATCACCAGCATAATTCTTACTTTACCTTTTGTCATCACTTAAAAGTCAAGCAAAGAATGAAGGACTAAATAAATATCACCAAAAAGTCAAAACGGATCTAGACTGAATAAAAAAACAAAATGACAGATGTTCAGTATTTACAAAAGTACTTTTATTTCTGAGCCCTTAAGCGCATGAAAGAGTTGCATTTGTGGAAAAATATACATCTCGGTCTATTTCAAGTACAGCAGTTAAACCATTGGTTTTTGTTGTATTCTTCATTCTTATTAAAATAAAAACATTTACGCCATTAGAAAATACATCTTTGTTGTTGTTGAAAGTTGGATTAACACTAAGAGAGGGACTGAAACTGAGTTTTAGTACCTGAATTTGTTAGCTTTGCTCGTGCAAAACCTTCACATACAGAGAAATGTAAAGCTGGCTGACAATGTTAAGCAAAATCTAGAACATCTATGAAAAAGTGAAATAAAAACAAACAAAAATGTCATTAAAAACCCTGACCTGAATTGAGTGGTAAAGATATGAAATGTAAACATTACAAAAATACATATTTACACAATTCTGGGTCCTGCCCTCAGTGAGTTCTCCTCTTAGGAAAGCAAATACAGACTCTGTAAGGCACTCACTATTAATAACTTATTTCAAAAACAGAGAGAAGGGTCTTAAATACAGACTAGTTATCAATATCCACAGTTATGTACAAACCACCAGAGTTTTTTTATCTTTAAAGTGGAGAGGCACTTCTGTTAAACACTGTCTCCCTACAAAAAGGCACAAACTGTGAACTAAGGCCTCTAGAGGAACATTCAGTTCGATGGGGCTTCATCTGGGATGCTCAGGGCATTTGTCCACGGTAGAAACAGCAGGATTTTTACATGTGCCTCTTCATGTGGAGAGCCAGGTGATCTGAGCGGGAGAACGCACGCTCACACAGGTGGCACTGAAAGGGTCGGTGTCCGGTGTGTTTCCTGAAGTGACGGGTCAGCTCATCTGACCTGGCGAACTTCCAGCCGCAGCCCTCCCAGTTACAGTGGTACGGCTTCTCACCTGAGAGGAAACAAGCAGGGTTCAGTTAAGATTTTGCTTTGAGATGTAAAAACACAAATCTTTAGATCTCACAATGTTAAAAAAGATGGGATTGTCATTTGTGCTCACCTGTGTGTGTCCTCATGTGGGCTTTCAGATGGGAGCTTTTGGTATAAGTTTTCCCACATCCAGGGAACTCACAACTGTGTGTGGCAGCCCGTTTCCTGGCCCACGACCTGCGGCCTCTTTTTTGTTTGATGCTCCCAACATCCTCGTGCCCATAAAACTCCAGCAAAGAGGGTGAAGAGGGGGGAGTGAGCATCATACCCTGCATGGAGGCCGGGTGTTGCTGCTGGTGCACACGGACAGGCTCGCTGTGCATGCTGTAATGTCCCTGGTACTGTGGCAAACTCTGGTGCGCGTACTGCAGCTGATAGGGTGCATTCATGTAATGGTTCTGGAGATGGTGCTGACTGGCATGATGAGAGTTTAAGTGTGCCAAATGTCCTTCTGTGCGTCCCTGAGATGCAGGATGGTGCATGTGATGCGCACCGAATCCTGGCAAGGCACCTGTTAATGCAGCCTGGTGGTGCGTAAAAGGCTGCGTGGAGCGCATGTGGTGCCTCTCATACATATGTCCCATAAAGTTTCCATCACCAGCAGTAGACATCATGCAAGACTGACCCACGGGCTCAGTTTTAACTTTATATCCCATTGCTGGGGGAGAGGCAGCCGCTTGGTGATGAGCGGGAGTAGCTGGCATGGTGACCGCATTCAACGCGTGCAGCTCGGTGTACTCTTGGTTGTCTCCCGCTTTTTCTGCGCTCTCTGGGGAACTCTCTCCTGGATAGCTCATCTCTGGCGTGAGAAGCTCCGCCATGAGACTGCGTACAGGGCCGGTTCCGGTGTAGTCAACGATGGCGGGGTAGCTCTGATGAGAAGGAGGCGGAGGGTTGTCACTACAGTCCGGCACAGACGCACCGCTGCAGCTCTCAGGTGACTCCGGCAGAGAATACGCGCATTGCTGCTGCGGAGATATGCTCCCGTTGTGGCTTCCAACATCTGAACTCATACTGTTGGATAAAATGAACTCGAGGTCCACAAATTTGGCAAGCTCATCGTCATCCTTGGGGGGCACAACAGGAGACTGGACGATGCTGAACTCCACTTCGATGTGCGGGTTGTTTGCGCACTCCTCCACCTTACACGTCTGTGCAAATAGAAACATTACAGTCAGAAAAATTGGAAGTACAACAAGCTCCGAGTTCGTGCGAACCATATATGTTGAATTCGTGATTCCGATCTGATCAAACCCAACTTACATTGACGAACGGTTTTCCATCCACCGCCTGGACACTTGGAAACGAGGTTAATGTAGGCATCACGACTTCAGCAACAGCCATGACGCCGGATCAAAGTGTGACTGTCAGGAATCAACAGAAAAAAAAACTAGAAATCTCAACAGAAACGACCCTCTCTGTCCATGTAGCGTCTGTCAGGTCGCTCACAGCTGAGGAGAGTTTCAGTAATGACACTGTGAGCGTCAACAGAAGTGCTGGAGCATCTTATAGCTCCTTCAGTAATACTGGGAGGCGTGGCTTATCCTACCCCCAACACTCATTCGCGCACACACCTCCCCCGTGGCAGCCAATGGTGCAACAAGCGAACAGCGGCATTCAGGTGCGTCAGGTAGGCACGTAAACAGAGTCCAAAAGAATGAAAAAGGACAGAGTTATGCAGAAGGACTGAATCATGTTATGAAACAACATCTGAAACAAAAGACACATTAAATAAGCGGTATGTCTTTAACCGTTTTCATTTGGAGCACAATGTCTATTTCTTCGCAATTATTCACTTTTTTACCTCATAAATAAGACAAAGTTCGGAGAAACTAAAATATATCAGATTAGTCCTTGCTGCGTCAAGTGAGTGTCAGTCCCTCTTTAGAGAGACAAACCTAACTTCCCTAAAGGTTGAAACGAAGCCAGCTAAGTGGAGAAGCCAAAGTTCCAATGTGTAAAAGACCTTTTTGCACTTCTTGATTATATCAAAGTCACTTCATAATGCAAGAAATTTATTTAAAAGTTGAGACGTTTCCAACAGTTTCATTCCAGCCCTTGAAACGCACGCACGCACTCATTCACACATCATTATTTGTCCTGACTTGATCCCTACCTGTTTGAAACAAACATACGTGCGAAGTGTCGGCTCATCGAAACAACCTGTTTATCTGGGTGTCAACAAAGAACTACATGACGCTTAATGATCTTCCCCCAGCAGTCCTGAAGGCCCCTGCAGTCATTGCTATGCTAATGTTCAGGCGAGGGAGAGGGTGAGAGAAAGAGATCAGCCTCCAGGAAAACTGAACATACACGATCGTTATTTGTGTGCTTATCTATCAGAGAACATTACTTACAATTTCCTTTCATTAAATTTAAGCGGTGTATCCATAAATCACAGCAAAGAAAGCCCCTCAAAGGCTCCGATCTGTTTAAAGCCATATCCACACTCATACAAATGATGAGCAAAACTTCGTGAATCTACTCGTGTGCTGTAACTGCCTCAAAAAATGTTTTATACAACTTCTTTTTTCAGTGAAATGTACTGCAATGATTTACTTTTTACTATTAGAAACACGCAGAAAGAGGATTGTGTCAAAACCCGTGATATAGTGTGCCACCACTCCATGGATTGTATATTTTCCAAAGCATTACTTCAGTATCATATTAAAGGACAGTGGATCATCTCTGTGGTGATGTAACTTGTGAATGGTGTTTGTTCTAATGACGCTATTAAAACATACAACTTTTGTTTATTTCTGTGTGATTTGTCTTTTATCATTTTAACAATGTCAGACAAGAAAAATGTGGTTTCAGCTTTTTGATTTTTTTTTTAGTCATTTTTACCAGTAGGGGAGACCAGGAACAGATGTAACAGTGCTTTATACTGCCAGATAAGGGGTTTTACGGTGGCCATGACAGCTTGATCAACATGAGCCAAGGCATCATAAAAAGTCAGGAAGAAAACATTCATAAAAACATGTATACATGAAGAGAGAGCCCAAAGCCACAATACAACTAAAACATGTCAAGAAAACCTGACTGACTTCAACTATTTCCCTTAAATTAAAATAGCTGGCAATGGACAGAACTTGAAAAGTTTTTAACCTGCTTCAGTCAAAATCTCAATTATCTGTCATTTGGAATTATTACTGAGTGAAATAAAAAAATCTGTTTTGGCAAATTATCACTTTGAATGACACCTACACCTGGCAACAATTTTAGACAAACAACTAAAAAGCAGTCATAGGTCTTCCTGCTGGTGTTCTTATTTGCCTTTAAAAGGCATAAAGAGTCATCAATATTGATCACAGCCAGGTCTGTAACTTGCCAAAAACTCCTCACAGGAGCTTTAAGGGACATGACTGTTCAATGTGATAGATAAATGCTAAAGCAGTTCAATAAACTTTGTTCTTTCTGTATTGGTAAAAGATTTATTTTACAATAAATGACTTCTGTGTCTTTAAACGTCATAAACTCAGCACACTGTCAACCATTCTGTCCTCCTTCCTCTCTCCTCTGCTGCAGGTGGTGTGACGGTCTGTGTCCTGCTACTCTCTGCCTTTATACTCGGTTATTTTTAACATGCCATGCTTACGCAAAACTACTTCCTGTCCTGTCCCAGAGCCAAGTGGAAATGGACTCTGTTTCCTGAGGAAAAACTGGACACTCACTTCCTTAACTTTCACTCTGCAGACACGTTTTGCTGAGGATATGGATACACACGGGCTGGGGTGAATGTGTTGACTGATTTTGCAGCTGGAAAAGTCTTGTATATCCACTCAGCAGCTTTATTTGTAACATAGATATGAACTTTTACTTTGTAAAGAGTGAAGTAATTGTCTTTGAAACCTTTTTTTCCTTTTGGCAAAAGTACTTGAAATGTTGGCATGGTTCCGTAAAGACATTGAAAAAAAATCCACAAATCAAAGATATTTTCCCAGAGTTGATCATCCACACACAGATAGATGATCTGATCAGAAAACCTCTAGTTGCTATCTAGTTCAATCTGAGGCAGTATCAAACTAGAATCTTGTAAAAACAGCTGAGAACAGAGAGACAGACGGAGATAAAGAACGGCCCCTGGCTCAGGTTTCTCCTTTTGTGTCTCTTTTTTGAAAAGGAGGAAGTCTTTCAGCTCAAGTGTTTTCTAAACACAATTACTTCAGATTACAGAGAAGCAGAGAGAGAGCCAAGACATCTCATCCTGGAAACACTGAAATATTCCCAAGCAGAGATAAAAAGTAGTTTATCTTGTTTAAATGTTTGGGCCTCAAAGTTTAAGGAAATCAATATTTCATGACCTAAACTTTATTTTGAAGTTACATTTCAAACTTTTATTTTGGAGAAAGTTAAGATAATTTACATGGGTTCTCTCTAAAGTTGTTGTGTTTTTTTACCCCTGCTTCTTTTTGAACTTTGACCCTTTGAAATGTAATATAAAGAAAAAGCTGAGATGATTGCAGTAAATGTACCAGCACCAAAAACAGTGCAGGCCTTTTGGATGATCTGTCTCCAAACAAAGGTGAGCATGTCCAGCTCTATGTTGTCATGGATGCCTCGAAGAAGAAAGACAGAAAAATTTTTACAGAGTGTGTGAGATATTTCTCTGTGTTTGATGGAGTGCAGTGCAAGTTATTAAACTTCTATGATGACAGACATATAAGGCTCTGACAAGCTGTTTGGAAAAATGTGGACTGGATATTTGAAACACCACAGTCTTTTCATCAGATGATGCCAATGTCAACTTTGGAAGAAAACAGTTCTAAGCTAATAAACGGTACTCATAGTCACATCCTGAGAGCTGACAGTCCAGCTCACCCAGCTCATAAAGCCTGCAAGCACACCAGTGAACAGCTGTCAATAGATATCTAGGCACTTGTTTTAAAAGTCTACAGCTGCTTCTCTGCGTCTGCCATCTGAAGAGAGGAGCTGTGTGCATTTTTAACTTCGTTGACATTGAGTGGTGTGAAATTCAGTGACACGTCTGCACACGATTCTTCATCCAGCTGCTGATCATCCTCTGCAGAGCTGGCCAGCTCTTGTCTCATACCTCAGGTACCTTGGGGAGACCTGCCCTGTGGTACTGAAGAGGATTTTTGAGGATGAAGAAACAACTATGATTTTATGAGGCCACTGTTGCTTGATATTTACGGTTGTGGCAATTTCTGACACATGGTAGTGGATTTATGTGACCAGATTCAGGAATTCATACAGGAATCACACAGAGTATCAGGAACTTGGCACATACTTTAGATAAGAGGCTAATTCAATGCACACAAATATCTTGCCAAGATACACACACATATGTCCTTTATATCAGCACTGTCTAAACAGAAGCTGTACTTTGCAGCAGTCTACATACTGAGTGTGGAGACACTGAAACAAACACACACACACACACACACACACACACACACACACACACACACACACACACACACACACACACACACACACAGACCAACAGCAATTATCCTCTATCACTCACAAAGTGGGGGAAACCCGGCTGCTGTTATCTTGGATAAATATGCCGCCTTGCATGGCATGAAACAGCAACAGAGTGATTAGAGAGAAAAAAGAAAGCACAAGTACAGCATGGAGACATGCTAGCTAGCTTCTGGAAAGATATCATAAGAAGGTGGGAGGAGAGGAAACAAGAACAAACGGCAACTGATGAGAAGAATCATGGGAAAAAAAGAATAGCAATAACATCAGACTGAAGGCCTGCTATCTGTAATTCTGCTCTTCCTGAGGATGGAGTTTGACGCTTGCTGTGGTCAAACAGTCTGACTGAGTGATGGGGGAGGGAGCTTTGAAGAGTGACTGGACTGGACCAGGCTGAAATGTGTGCTTTTGTTTGGCAGTAAAAGTCAAATATGACATTTTCCCATTTTGAAAACATCAGATTTTTGTTACACACAGAACAAATCTATCAAACATTATTAAAGTCTGTATATACATGTTAAATAAGGTCATTGTTTACCCACCAGCTGTGCTAAATGGTTTAGCCTCTCCTAGTAGTTTAGGAACTAATGAGGCCATTAGCAGTTAGCTGTGAGGCTAATGAGATCAGGCCCAGCCATGTACTCAGCAGCATGTCGGCACATTTAGATATCTCATGTGTGTGATCAGGATCAGGAGTAATTAGAAGACCCTACGTTGACGACAACCCACTGAGAAAAGCAAGGCTAACTGAGATAGAGATTCATGAGCGTCTGCATGCGTTAAACTGATTTTTTTTTTTGGTAATCCTGGGATTATTCAACAATAATAAGTCTCTGCTAAGTCTGAGGAGAAATTACTGTAATTAAACCTCCTTTTAGTCACAAGCAATTTAAGGCTTTAACTTTAACAGAGGACTTAAATAACCTCCACATTTAGAATCAAATTAATTCAAATCTCAACCTGTCAGAGGATGAACATGTATTATGTGTGTGAGGTTCAACCCCTGTCCTCAGATGACTTTAAATCATGAACAAACTCTCATTGCTATTCACAAACTGGGTGTTTCAGGTGACTTGTTCCCTTGTTTCAGCTGCATGTTGCATCAAAAACAGCAAAGAAACCACAGAGTCTTGTTTGACTGTCAGAAATATACCAACTCATGTTATCTGAAACTGTTTTTAGAATAAAAAAAATCAGAAAAGAATGAATATTTTGCATTAGATATGTGCTGCTTCACATTTAAGTTATACATTGTAAATTTAGGGGTTATAGAAAGAAATACGAACCGCTTCACTCTTATGTGCAAAAACATCCAACCATTCTAATCACATTTAGACTGAATTGAAGAAAGAGGCCAAAAATAAAACCAACAAGAAAATGAAAATGTTTTGTATAAATCAGAATTGAATAAACTCAAATCTTGAGTCAAAGCAGCAGCTGTTATTCCTCCTGATCCAGCAGAACCAGTCTCACCTCTTTCGGTCTCGGTTTCACCTCTTCATTTCTCCTCATTAGCCTGTAGCAGAGGCCGAGAGTCTGCCACTTTCTGCCACCAATTACCTCAAGGGCCAGTTACCTGTTCCACCTGTTGGGACTTCTTTTATGTGCCTGCTGTGTCATGGCAGTGTGCGTCACAAACCGCAGACCTCCATGAGTGTGAAAAGAAAACAAGGTAATATTTGGGAGACGGATTGGGTGAGGCACTGTGTGCACTAGGTTTTTATATTACTTGTTGTAAATGTTCTTAACATATAAGGATATAAACTTTCATTAACGATTACATGCATGATCAGAGCCTCTGTAAGTAAATGTCAATTTTAGCGCCCCCTGTGGACAAAGCAGTCTCTCATCCTGTTGACCTTTGATAGTCAGATGTATCATTCATTAGTAATATTTAGAGTAAAAAGATTAACAAACAGGGCTTTTTCTGATTGCCTTTAATCTTGTTCACTTCTGTGTGCCATAAAGAGGCATTAATATGAATGTTGATTTATTTCAAAAACATCATAAAACTTCTCATATAGGCTTTAAGTCATTTCTGTTGTAAAAAGAAAATTACTTTAGAACTTTCAACCATTTTTGCTGTTAACATTCAAATAAGTCATAAATTTGACTTCAAAAACAAGCCTCTCTGCACAGCCAGTCATAGTGAAGGGAAGAACAGTTCTTTTGACTGAATCTTTAGAATCTGTTTATTAAAATGATTCATTCAAAAGATTTGTTCACTGAATCAGTCCATGCTTCGGAGCCCTATCCTGCCTATTGCAGTACACGAGTGAGTGACAAAGTGGCACTGATCGGGAGTTAGTTTATTGAATGAGCCCCTTCCCTCCCCTGCTGCTGAAGTCACAGCATTGTTCACTGGTTTACATGTCATTCATTCACCAAATCGTAAGGGAAGAATCACTCCTCTGCCCTAAAAAACACACCTCTCTGTGTGCCACCGATGGTCGCATCGCAGTTGAAACAACACAGCAGCACACCCATTAGACGAGCACAAGTCGTCCTTCGTTTATATTGCAGAAAAGTAGAGAGATTAAAAATAAACACACAGAGAACGAACCAGTGCTCGGCAGATCGTGAATGACGTTATGCCCCTCCCCTCTCTGCCTGCTTCAAGTTGTTCGTTTCGTTCATAGTCTGACTGATACATGTTGTTTATTTGCTGTGAGCAAATCATGAGACTCCGCCCGCCCGCCTGCTATGTGTCGATCGCCAAAGAGTCAAAGCTAGGCAGTTCCATTTGACTCGCGACTGAGCTCAACTAAATTGAGAAAGAAACGAATAAGGTCTTGGGGTGATTCAGTTCACATCATTCACTCAGCAGTTCCATTCTTTTGAACACAACACTAGCCAGCCATGCCATAAGTATTTAGGGACCATCGCCGAAGTTTGAATATGTTTGCCTACTACTGGAGGTATATCTTATAAGATATATATTATAAGTACTGAGTGTTTTGAGTACATTTTAGATTTAGTGCTTTTCTTTTTTACTTTTGTAGATTAACAGACTAGTAGTTTTACTTTTACTTAAAGCTCCTGTGAGGAACTTTCAGTTTGTGTCAATTTTGGCGCCCCACTGTGGACAAAGTAGTCTTTGCTTATTTCGTCCTCTACATGCTTTAATTGTGTCCTCTTACGAAAATTCTCATTCTGCTTACTTTTTACAACCGAATGGTCATTTATTTTATGTAAAAATATAAAGAAATATGGACTGTAGCTGCCTGGCTGCCACCTACCCCCTCACCAGTTTCAGGCACTTAAATTCATTGCAGAACTTTTTTTTTGCCGTACTTGCACTTTGTTCACATCACTCCATGAACTTGACCAGTCAAAACATTACCTCTCATGTTATCATTCATTTCCAGTGATATTCAAATTTATGATTTATCACCAGCCCTGTGACCTTAACATCCTTGGAGAGGACATTGCCTCAGAAAATGATTGTTTGTCAGTCTTTTATTTTGATATTTTGTCTATCTCACATTTAGGTTGCTTTATATCCTGTACTGTCCATGGTTTTATTGTTTGAGGATGCAACTTCCAGTAGATTTAAAGTTACAGGACTTAATGAAACCAGTTAAAAAGGCTCAATTTATTAGTTACCTGAAGAGTCACAAGCTCCAAGGTTTTTGGTTTCACAATAAATCGGCAACAAAGAGTGCTAAATCATTACCCAGGATGCTGCTTTAACTAGCCAGCTTGCAAGCAAACCTTGTGCTATAAATAGCCTGCTTTAACCCTTAACAAGTGGGTTGGTGTTTAAAGAAAATGGCGGACAATAGGTGCAACATTTAAGAGGTAACAGGACGAAACTTAGGTGCTAAAGGATGGTTTAGAGTTGCAGCTGCAACACAGGAGCTATCCCTCTGCTCTTAGGCAGAAGGATAAATGATAGCTCTTCATCCATCTTGGCTGCTCCACTTAGCTCATCTTTCAGTGTCTGAGCTGTGAAACTTTTCTGTCCAGCCATGACACTCTAGATAGATGCAACGACAAAGGAGGAAAATCTCCTCCATTGTTGGGCTTTTGTAAGAGCCATAAGGAAAACATATGATGCCTGACATTTTTGGTTATTATTCAAAACATAGTGGTGTTCATTTCTCCAGATGTGTTTATCAAATTACATATACGCCATTGTCGCTATATCGTTTTGTACACGTATTATAAGAAACTGAGTGGTGCTGTGAGGCCTTACATCTCAGGACTTGTTGCATGGTAAGGATGTACAAGAGCCAGGTCAACAAATCATTTCGATGCTGGTCCTGTGACTATACTGACAATATTCAACCTGAACAAAGTCACAGCTGTAACAATCAGGAGAAATTCAAATATCTTTGATTAATGTCAAATGACGTCGTGCTTTCCTGAACACCTCACTTCATTCCCTGTGGTCACGGGCCAAGGAGAGCCAAAGAAGGCAAGTGTACCACACGGGTGAGTGAAAGGCCAATGGGTGATGTATTGTGTATCACACAATGTGTATTCTGTGTCAATACGGTGTCTCAAGGTGCGTTCAGGAGTTCAACTTCCAGCGGGGCCACCCATGCAGTCCATAAATATGTGAGGGAGACTTTTGCCACTGAAAAATGCAGCTAGTGAGTCTGACATTGCTGCTAAACCTCAGCAGTTTATTAAAATACTCACCTAATTACTCATAATAATCACTGGACTCTACATTGGATGACAATTGAATTTAGTACAGATGATCATGGTTTTTAGAGGATAAACCTGAATGGATTTGGTGATTCTTTGACTTTTCATGAAACGCCATAAGCAGGCCAAAGTGTCATTCACTCATTGACTGATCTGTAACTCAAAGGATTGGTATAATGTTTTGTAAAGCCACTCATGGTCCCCAGAGGATGGATCCCAGATATTTTTTAGGGTTAAAATAATGCCTACCCCAAACCTAGGAGGGTTATATCCACTAATCACATCTATATGAACAAAATAAAAATGTGTTATATTTTTATTTATATTTTTTTAAAGATTACTTTACACAGTAGCAACAATTAAATCAGCTGACATTGATTCTTGAAGGATTAAAAAGGAGCTATTCGTCCAAGGATGGGGGGACCCTGGCTCTGCTACTGCAGAAACAGACAAGATATCATCAGTGATGCACTTCATTTTACCCTGAGATCTGATATAGTTCTTGTTTATTCAAGCCTTTGTGTTTTTGTGACAAATGCATGCTTTTGGTTTACACCTGACTGCAGATGTGAGGTCAACCTCTCTGCTTGTAGCTATAATTTTTATCTTGATCTTTCCAGGTGCCTTGAGTGAACTGTGACTGTAACTTTAATGACTTCGCTCAAACAACATCAACCTTTTCACTCAAAGCAAAGAGCCTGAACAAAAATAGACAAAAAAAGATGCCGGTGAGAAATATACTTTGTTGCTTTCTTCTCCAATTTGACTGCATTTGTGTTGTTATCCATGCTCTTTGTAGTGTCAAACCTTCTGCCCTAGATAATGTGGGGTTTAGACAGGTGTATAACATTTGTATAGCACCTTGTTTTGGCTGCTTTTCTTTTGCATGAACAGTGAAAATTGGCTTTGAAGGTGTTGCAAAGATTCTAATCACGTTAATTATCCAACACAGACAAATGCATTCTTCTTGAGTTAGAATTTTGTCTCCAGATTTCAGTGAGTCAAACAGCTTCTACTGCACGAGACCAAAGAGACATTTAAAGTCTCACTCTGATACTTTTTTTTTTTTTTACTACTTCAAGTGTTCTCAGTGGACTTTAAATTGTGATCATGAAGTTTTCAGCCAAAATCATTTCCTCTGTCATTTTCAAGGAATTTTCTTCTGCAGAGCTTCAGAAGCTCATTAGCAATTTGCCTCTGAGTAGTGGAAGTTGACAGAGCTGCTCTGCACACTTCTCGTCACCTTATTCTTGCAGCCTAAAATTGTCGATGTAGTAGAAGTGGCAGGTAACATAGGAGCTATTCAGCTCTCGGACGCTAATGTCTTCGGGGACATGATGAAAGTTAAAAACATAATTAGCTTTCTTACAAGCATTGCAATCCGCTAACGCAGACGCTTGTTCTGCAATTGTCCTCTCTATTTAACCAAGTGTGGCCTGCATTGTGGGGCTCCGGGGACAGAGCTTGGATATATGATGTAGGAAACTTACTGCATCTGATCCTACGGTTTAGGTCTGCTGGAGGTTCACAGCGATATGAATGCAGGAATACTCTTGTTTTTTACACTTATTTTTCTCATGATATGTCCTCTAACATCAGAAAATGCCATATGAACATGTAGACAACAAAAAAAAACATAGTTTTCATCTGAGTGGGTCTTTATAGGAATCAAATGGATCAAGGAACACAACAAAATAACTTATCAGTAACTTTTTAGCATGAAATTGAAATGACCGGAAGTATATCAAAGGGACGGCACGTCTTCACTCGGTTTTCATAAACATACTCACACAGGCATATCGAGACCATCTTTTCAGGCTTGCCATCTTCAAATTGTACATCATATGTCTTGGCTATTTGACAGAGCAGGGTGCTTCAGTACTAAGAGCTGTTTGCAAATTGGAACTGGTTCTTAGTTTCAGAGATTCGTAGATTCAATAATGTCGGTTCCACCTTCTGGGTTCCTTACAGCAACAGAAATCTTTCAGGATTAAATTTTGATGAGTATTACAATCCACAAAATGTTGTACATCTTTACCACGACCTGCTATGGAGAGCCACAGACATCATTTGTGACACAGTCTGTCAGTGAAGTTATGGTGCTGACAGACCAAACTCTGCCACGCGCATTGAGAAACGCTAAAATATGCTCACCCACTTCAGCAGCACAACAGACAGAAGAAAAGCTACTTTACAGCATAAATGCACAGCATTAGGACAGACAGAGCTGTTTTGATATTTTTAATCTGATTGTGAAATCATTTGCAATGAACTACTTTGAATTTGTAATTGCTGAACAACATCTGTAGACACAGGAGTTGGAGTGGTTTCAAGATGGTAGACTGTAACAAACCATTTCAATGCAGTAATGCCTTTTTTTTCTCCCTATTTTTTTTATTTTTTACCAAAACAAGATTTTTAGAAAGAAATCAAAACTATTTTGAAGCCTACACTTCCAAGAAAAGCAACACAAAGTGTGTGGCATGATCTTTCTTCTGTCTCTGTTTCTTCTCAGACCTGGCAGCTGAGTGTCCTGAAAGCCGGCAGACAGACAGGAGAGCAAATAATTACCTTTCCCAGGTAGCTGCACTGATTGTTGGGGGCTGGAGGATGAGTGAAGAGGGCTCTGTGTGTGACTGTTTCGTGATTGTGTGCATGTATGTGTGTGTGTGTGTGCCCAAAAAGCAGTATGTCCTTTTGACCTTGCGGTGCTGCAGACACACAGAGAGAGACGGTTTTGTGTCCCCAGACAAGAGGTCTGCTTTCACCTGAGCAGGCTTTGGCCAATTACACCCTTCAACCCCCAAGCATAGACAAAAGAGGAGCGGAGCGGGATGAGTGACTGGGACCAGGCCGGGAGCCTCTTGGTAAGAGCAGGGGAGAGGGGTGTGTTAGTGAGATGTGAAAATTCAGACACTGAGAGTTTGCAGACGACGAAAACAAACCCGAGTATCCCGAGTATCGAGATTTTAGCAGAGTGTAAATCCTCCATGTATTTAAAAGTTTTCTCTGAAAGTGAAAGACGCCAACATACTTGTGGTTTATGAAGCCCTTAAGGGTTTTGGCGAAACAACATTCCTCTCTTCCTTCAGGTGTATGGACAGGTTTAGACTTGGCTGTTGTGTACAGGTTTGGTGATCCTGTAAGAGTCAGCTGGCATCAGATCAAAACATTTACAACACGCCACAATCTGGCAGGGAAACCAGATTCGTTCATCATGCGCCCATGCATGTGTGTGGAAATGGCAGTGACAGCGTGTGAATACCTGAGCATCCAACACTATAACTTACATTAATTCAGCTTTATTTCATCTGGCATGGTACAAAGGGATGTGTGGATGCACACATGGCAGAAAATCACAGATATTCATTTTTATGATGTCAGATTGAATATCGTATAACACGAAAGAACCTGCTTGAGTCTGGTTACTTTCAGTCACGTGTTCTAACACGTTACTCTTCAGATTCTGAATAACAGATGTAATGTCTAGATAAGAGTCTGCCAGATGTTTGCCAGTAAAACACTTTAATCATCTGGTAACATCATTTGCTTTGCACAAATCTGTTAGCATCTATAAAGAAATGAAATTCTCTGGAAAGTATTTTCCAGTGGGAAAATAGCGTTTGATAGATTCAATGAAAGGCTTTGACCTGAAGGGATAAACAATCTGTCTCTCAGCTAACTTTCTGGCAGTGTTGAGGTATGCATAAATTAAATTTTCTTCATTACACAGACATTTTCTCTGGTGTATGTAGGGCCTCAGAGCTGCTGTGGTGAAAATATGCAGGCATGTACTGACACTGGATGAATCTGTGTGTGGCGCCATTGAATGGTGGGACGAAAAAATGTTCAGCAGCTCCTGAGAGTGGTAACTTCGTCAGATAATCTTGACATCATTTGGAGATATATTAAACATCCTCTTCAATTATAGCCTCATTACATTTGGAGAAAGAGATATAAGACTCACCACATATTGATAGTTAAGTGCTTCCTAATGTAGTTTTATTCAACCACGCTAGTTACATTCATCTACAGGTGTGTTTTTTCAGCACAGACTGACTGTATTGATAAACACATTGGCCCTGCATTGTCAAACAGATTTTACACTGTGACAGACTCATTACAGTTCAGGGTAATGCTACACTCATGTCCTCACATCGCCTGATGCTGATCTTAAACTTTTTTCTAATCATGACAGTGTTGCTTACCTGTACATTAGATTTCTTGAGCTGAAGTTCATCCCCAGAGGGAAAGCTGCTGCTGTTTTCTCTCTAACACTTGGTCGCAGAGACTAGAGCATGTTAAATTGGGAGTCGCAACTCAAAATGGTGGACAACCGATGTGCTATGTGGAAATGTAGGATAGCCTGCTATCAATAGTTTATCATTATCATGGGACATAAAGCTCGTGAATAACTGAACATCATTGGAGCGCATTATCAAAAAAACACGTATGTCCACTGCCCCCCCCCCCCCCCCCCCAATAAAAAAAGAACACAAAAAACAAATTTTGGAGATACATGTTTTTTATTGTTATGTTACATCTTCGTCCTCTCTACGGCCAGCGAATCAACGTTAAGTTTCCACTCATATAAGCAGCATTTTACAAACAAAGAAATCTTGTATGTTGTGCAAAGATAACAAAGTTAAAGTTTGTCATGACTGATAAAGCAGCTGAACATTCACAGGTTCTCCCACATGCCACCAACAGTAACAGTAGAAAGTGTGACGTTTCACTCAAGGACCCAAATGTGAGACTCAGACTGGCATAGGTACTGATTGGGTTTTCTTCCAAGAAACCAAAATTGCTTCACAGAAGTTTGAATAACAGACTGTCCAGAAGTGGAGGGGTTGCAGGTTGACAGTGGAGGCGCTGAGGGTATTGTGGAGATCACAGCAGAGACAAAAAGACACAGGATAGGACACAGGCAGACTGCACTGGAAAAAAAAACTTAAACAATTGCTCACAAACACACAATAGAGAGCCTGGATACCACTGATAGATAGACATGAACTGGCAGCTTGCAGAAGCCTGATTTGGAGCTGCTGATTGCCACTGATTAGGGACAGCTACGTCTCATCAGAGTGAAGACCTCCTCACCATGTTTCCATCAGCCTCGCTGCACTGAAACCAAAAAACACAAAAACCTCCCAACACAAACACAGAAAAAAACACATTTAAATAGTCACAAATAATCAGAAAAAAGACATGCAAAGACATGCATTCAAACATGCAGATGGTTTGGCTAAAGTGATGGTCTATTTGGTTTTGTTCTCCAGCACTTTTGGCAGGCTGAAAACTTGAAGTTTGAATGGCTGAGACTTGTTTGCATGTTTTTGTGTGTCAAATTGGTGTAGCTCCCCTTTAAGAAAGCTTTCTTTACAGTACACGCAGGCTCTAAAGATAGGTGTGCAGTAAAAGGGTATCATTAAAACTAAACCACACAACTAGCTTGTTGTGTACATGTAAAAATACAATATGGATATAGTCAACATACCAAAACCTCACCACGTCATGAACAATGACATAAAAGGAAACACACTGAAAAGAAAAAAGCTGCATGACTGCTAACGTAACGTTAGTTAACAATGCAGCCCTGGCAGCCAGAGGTGTTTCCATTCATCTTTAATGTTTTTATTTTACCATTGTTGCAGAGATAACTGCTATCTCACCATTCAAGGTAAACTTTCCATTTTCAAATAAAACTTTGTTCACAATATGACCATATGTACACTGTCACTCAAGTACAACACAAAAGTATGTGACTATGGATCATTTATTGCCTCATATCTTATAGCTCTGTCCCACTTTATTTTGATGGATCTATTAAAATTACTGTAAATATCTGAATGAGTATGAGGTGCTTTTGAATGAGAGGTGAATGAAAACACTCACTTTTCACCGTTGAACCACTGTTTAGTGAAAGCAGTATCTCAGTGACAGATTGGAGCTTGGGAACAAGTTTGACACTGTTCAAACAATTAATCAGTGAAATCCAGACCCTGATATCACTGTTGCTCTTAAAATAGTTTGACATTTATTTTACCTGGGCTGTCACATCATTCTCAAGCTAGTTAATCCTCCTTAAATAGTGGCGCTAAGCTGTTCTGCGATGCCAATCCTTATGAAAACACTTTGGGCTGCATATTGAGCCAAGCTGGCGATCAGTTCAAGATCTCATTTCTGCACCACTTTTTTTTTTCCTGCTAATGTAAGATGTTTAATAATCCGATGTCTTTGTTGTGCTGTCACAGTGAATTGTGATGAACAGTACATTAGACCTGCCAAGCTTTTGAAATCGCTGTCACGAAGATATGGGGCTGTTATTGAAGCCATTATGAGATTTAGGAGCTGAACTGCCTCAGGGCCTCCTTCAAAGAAAGCCACTGCTGGCTGCACACAACTAAGAGTTATCTCTCTCTCACCCACACACACACACCAAAGTTATCTACACACCATACTATAATGCCTGCACAGGCATTTGCGTGGAAAGGCATCATCTCCTGAGATAATTTATTTGCTATGCACTTCCTTAGCTTTTTGGGATCTGAATGAGGTAAGTCTTCTTCAGGTCCTTTCACACCGGGACTGTTCATGCGATTATTTTGGATGTCAATATTTTTTTTCGAACCTGTATCCTGTCAATACAAGCATTCACATCAGCGAAGTTTTCCCATCCTGCAATATTGCGGCATTTATTTTTTCAGATCACGTCGATTTTTCTAAAGATTTGCATACTGTGTCCACTTCTGACCAATCAGATTTCGTGTTGTTGCGACGTCTGATACACCGGTATATCCAACATGGCCGACTGGCTGATTGTTTATGTGTCGGAGAACAGAGTGCTTTTTGATAAAAGACACAAACATTACAAAGATAACGACCTGAAGGACAACTTCTCTTGTGTGCTTTAACAGTTCACTAAACGTCTTTGTTTTAACTTTCATCTGTGCTAAGTAACTTTAGCTTGTAAGCTAACCTGTTCAGATACAACATACCATATGTAGTTTCACTGTCTCAAACTCAATCACGTTGCTGTCACAGCACCATTAGGTCTCGGTTGTTACCTTACGTTTATGGATTATAGTTTAATGTTCTTATCTGGTACTGGCCCCGACTCAGTACATGCTATCATGACAGACAGCCATCTCACCACTAGTGTCTAATCAGAACTAAAAAAACAGTCAGTCTGCTGTTGTGTCAGTCTTCTCGCCTCCACCCAAGACGCATCTTTTTTTCACCCCGGGAAGTTGCAAAATTGGGCTTGATGGGTATAGTCAGGCGCGTCAAAATCCGCCTCCGAATTTTTCGTAATTTCATGTGGTATATTGGCGTTGGTCCCGGTGTGTGAGAACCTTTCTCAGGGCTCTCAAGTTTTGAACTAAGCTTAGAGTGAGATTTCCTTGGGGGGGGGGGGGGGTAATTATAATTATAAGTATAATTATCTCTTAAATACAACGGAGTATAAGGGGCACAATTAGAAAAAATGCGCTTTTTAATCTCAAAGAATAAAGTTATTATTTGGGAGAATAAAGTAATTAATATCAGTATTAAGTCGTAAAGTTACCTGTTGTGAAGGAGAGTTGTTAAAATCAGCACTGTGGAACATTTAGATGAATTGTGCTTTAGTATAGGTGTCACAAATATGGAGATACTTAATCCTTTGGTACATGAGCATTACACTGTCATGAGTATCAGAACTTATATTTGAGATATATGAGAAATGCTGCTTTTGCGGAGGAGAAAATGGCTGGAAATGGCTGTACAGAGGCTAAATCCGTCAATACAGCTGTTAAAAGCAATAGCATAGGGCTTTAGTTTATCATTTGAGTTTATCTGCCA